TTTGGTTTCAAAATCTAGTTCAAAATGCTTCCACCTCGCTCGATGGCATTACTTGAGCCTTCGTTTTAACTCGCCATGAGGCGTGGGTGATTCAGCCTGGCCCACTTATGCTTTCCTGTTTCGGCAAATCCGTTATTTTATATATATATTTATATATATATATATATATATATATATATATATATATATATATATATATATATATATATATATATATATATATATATATATATATATATATATATATATATATATATTCAATGGGGGTGGTGGAACGCTTAAAATTTAGTTTATCCAAACGTTTTGCTACTTCAAACTCTTCTACTAAGTCAGTGGCAGTGGGAAAGGGGTCTGGTAGGTATGCAGGGAGACTGGATGTGTCAAGCTGGGGGAGAGTCTGGCATATAGCTGGGAAATGGTTGTTTGGTTGCTTATCTGCGTCAACATTAGTGAGATGGTAAAGGAAGGGAAGGGTGTGTCTTATTGTTTATTCCACATTTCTTTAAGCTTAACATAACACTGACTGTTGGTGGTCTGCTTCAGGTGTTGCAACACGGTTGCGTACTGAAACAGTGGGAAATTTGTTTAAACAAACCTGAGCTTGTTACAAACAACGTATCTTCTATGCAGCGAAGGCTGCAAGCTGTAATTGATAAGGAGGGTGGATGGACCCGTTATTAAACAATAGACTGTAAATAATACACCTGTCTATATTTTAATCCTCGAAAGAAAGAAATATATTATAAACCTTAAATTTAAATTATGCAATGACAATAAAGGCAGTAGCAATATGATTAACAAATAAATAAAAAGTGAGGAACAAACCCCCCCCCCCCAAAAAAAAAAAATTTGAGAGCTATTCAACCCCTTTCTGAGTCCTAATCAACTCTATATAAGTATACTCTGCCTTTGACTGACTGACTCTCTCTCTCTCTCTGGCTTATTAATAATTATACCATCAAATGCAGTTAGTAGATCACAAAAATGACCACTTCAGTCTTTTCCCTTCTCCACATATCCGTGCTGCGCTGGTTCAAGAATACCACATGCCATTATTGTGTCAGTTGAGTCTATTACAGTGTCTGCTCTCTAACTTACGTCAAATTATATTATGTAATGCTCACATTGTAAAGACAATTAATTCCTTCATGAAACGTTCCAGAATAAATGTGGAACATACTGTAAATTCTTGAAATTTGATGTGAGACTCTCGTGGTAGCCCTGGTTGTAGTTGCGTTGTCAATTCATTGATATAATTTCTTCATTATTTAAGCAAATATACGAATATTTGGAAACTTGTCATGATCTTAAATAACGATGAATAATTTATTATTGTAAAAATGTGACTTTTGGATTGTTTAATATTTATCCTGACAGTGATGCAACCGAAAATAAATCCACCAATCACAATCACCTTTACATATAGCCTTCCTTCCTTCCTTCGAGTATTGCCAGGTAAAATTGCGAGCACGAGACCCAGGGTGGGGTCGGTGCATCTTTGGCTGACTGTACATATTTATCATCAACAGTAAAATTCATCACGGGACAAGGGATTCCATAACCTCAAGTAGCGTTTTGAATCAGCAAGTGTGAGTGTAGCCAACAAGTATAGTAAGGATGCATAAACAAATGAAGTATATACATTTTCGGTGAAAAAATTATATCATTACCCAACTCATTTATTGAAGAAAATATCATCATAATCAACATCATCATTATGCATTACAGGAACATGCAACAGTTAAAGAAGAGTGAGTTTTATTTTACAGAGAAGAATTAATAAATAATGATTTATAAATACAACTTAGTGACATCAACCAAAATAATTAACGGTGTGATTTACTTAACTAACTTCACATCATAGTCTTCAGGTTAAATCGTGTTTGACATTATCAACAAAATACTATTAATGAAAAATTTCATTATTGGTTTCAAAATTTGAAGAAAAAATAAGGATTTGGTGTTTTATTTGTGAAGAGAAAAAATTAACAACGCTTGTCAAGGTCCTCGATTCGTTTCATATTTAAAATCGAGTTCATCTTATGTAGGATTCGATTCTGTTTGAGCTGCTCTTTACTTTCCGTAGCAGCCACCAGATCCACCACCGTTGCTACCTCTACAACCACTGTTGCCACCTCTGTAGCCTCCACCAGATCCACCTCCGTTGCCACCTCCACCACCACTGTTGCCACCTCCATAGCCACCACCAGATCCACCTCCGTTGCCACCTCCACCACCACTGTTGCCACCTCCATAGCCACCACCAGATCCACCTCCGTTGCCACCTCCAACACTGTTGCCACCTCCATAGCCACCACCAGATCCACCTCCGTTGCCACCTCCTCCACCACTGTTGCCACCTCCATAGCCACCACCAGATCCACCTCCGTTGCCACCTCCACCACCACTGTTGCCACCTCCATAGCCACCACCAGATCCACCTCCGTTGCCACTTTCTCCACCACCGTTGCCACGTCTGTAGCCACCACCAGATCCACCTCGAACAGGCAAAAGGTTGAAGCTTACGGATGCCTTGGCTCTGCTTCCTCCACCGCCGGAACCATAGCCGCCTGTTGTACCTCCACCGCCACCGATTTTGCCTCCACCTCCTCCAGAGCTGTAGCCACCGCCGCCACCGCCGTTGCCTCTACCTCCGGAACCATAGCTGCCGGCGGCGCCGCTACCCCCACCTCTGTTGCCTCCACCTCCTCCAGAGCTGTAGGCACCGCCTCCACCGCCGTTGCCTCTACCTCCGGAACCATAGCTGCCGGCGGCGCCGCTACCCCCACCTCTGTTGCCTTCAGCTCCTCCAGAGCTGTAGCCAACGCCGCCACCCGCACCGCCGTTGCCTCCACCTCCGGAACCATAGCTGCCGCCGCCACCGCCACCGTTGCCTCCACCTCCAGAACTATAACCGCTGCCACCGCCTCTGCTACCGCCACCGTTTTCCCACCTCCGGAACCATAACCGTCGCCGCCGCCACCGTTGCCTCCACCTCCGGAACCATAGCCGCCGGCTGCGCCGCTACCCCCACCTCTGTTGCCTCCACCTACTCCAGAGCTGTAGCCACCGCCGCCACCGCCACCACCGTTGCCTCCACCTCCGGAACCAAAGCCGCCGCCGCCACCGTTGCCTCTACCTCCGGAACCAGCCGCCGGCTGCCGCTACCCCCACCTCTGTTGCCTCCACCTTCTCCAGAGCTGTAGCCACCGCCGCCACCGCCACCTGCGTTGCCTCCACCTCCGGAACCATAGCCGCCGCCGCCGCCGCCACCGTTGCCTCCACCTCCGGAACCATAGCCGCCGCCGCCGCCGACATTGCCTCCCCCACCTCCACCGCCGGAAGGAGCTATGTATCTTCCACCACCATCACCACCACCACGGTTGCCCCCACCGTTTATTCTAGAGCCATATCCACCCCCGCCACCACCATCACCACCTCCACTTCCGTCGTGTGAAGAACTAGAGAGGGACCTGAGGTCAGCTCGGCTCGACGCTAGCAGGAGGGTCACGCCCACCACCACCAACACCAGCCTCTGGAAGAAAGAATAACATTGATGAATATGAATTCGTATAAAATTTAAACATACCTGAAGGAAGTAACAAGTCCACGAGAGGGCCAATAATACCGACGAAATTGGTGTCCAAGTACATAATAACAGGTACTCTGTAGTGGGTAATGCTATTTATGGTTAAATACTCCAGGTACAGCACCATAAGAACAGGGCGGTACTACCGCCTGGGAAGATATTGGAAGCATAATGTGTTGTCTAATGGTAGAACCTGCTGCCATATGGCATCACGAAAATTGTGACCAAGTCCCAGGTTGCTGATCTGTCTTTCTGCCTCATTTACACACAATTGCAGGGTCTCAATTGTTTTTCTTACTTAGACAACACAATATACATATAGCGTTTCTCACTATTGAATTTTTTGTATTTCTTTATTATTACAGTGTTGTTATTATTATTATTGTTATCATTATTTTATTTTACTTTTTATTGACATTTTCTTTACTATGAATTACTGTATTATCATTATTATTACATTTTCGCCCCCAGGCCCCGATGTGGGTCAGTGACCTGTGCCCGGGTGGGCTAATCCCCGTAAAAAAAAAAAAAAAAAATGGAAGAAACTGCAACCAGCCTAGTGGTCCACACTGGGCAGTCCCGTTTACATCCAACCCCAATCGCTCATATATCCATCCAACCCTTATTTGAAGCTACCCAGTGTATTCGAGTTAATGATGATGTTTGATAACTTGTTCCACTCATCCACTACTCTATTTCCAAACCAATGTTTACCTATCTCTCGCCGAAATCTAAGTTTGACGAATTTAAAACCATAGCTACGAGTTCAATCCTGGTTTGGATAGCTTGAGTACCTTTGTTATATCACCTTTGATTAACCCTGTCTTCCATTTATACACTTCGATCATATTGCGCCTCACACTACGTTGTTCATCTAATATCTGGTTTCTCTGTTTACATCTCCTAGACCAGTGGTTCTTAACCTGGGGGGGCGCGCCCCCCTAGGGGGGCGTCAGTCATTTCCAGGGGGGGGGGGGCGCAAGCCCTAGGGAAAAAGTAGGAATTTCTCTAATTATAATTATAGTTTTTATTCTCTTAATAAGAGCGTGGGCTAATATTGAGAAGTTTATGAAAAAATGCAAAAAGTATCGCCTTATAACTTTAGTTTTCTAAAGGCTACTTTTTTTACCTCCTCCCAATCCCTCGAAACCTATGGAGGGGGGGAGGGTTAACTCGTCCTGGACCTGTATGCTGCTCGTTGGTGAATGGTGAGCCCCGTTCTCTCCCAGTCTTCTGCACACGTCTGTGGCAATAATTCCTCTTCTCTCACATTTATTCAGTTAAGGCTGTTGAGGTATGTTTTATCCCAGCAGTTATATTTACCTAAAAATAGTAAGCAGCCATAAGTTTATTGGTGAATTGTGAACACGCATGTGTTGCTCTGTTTGTTATTCGCAAGTTTTGAATTCCGTTTGTATTTTATCAGAAGTTGGTGGTGCTTAAAATCATGTGGTGGTAACAGGTGGTTATGGTAAAGTTATATTTATGATGATATTGATTTGTTTCTTAATAATCATGTGTTTATGATCATGATGTGTTTACTATAATGCTGTGGTGTTTGTTAATATTTACTTAATAATTATGTGGTGGTGTTTATGATCATGTAGTGGTGCTTATGATCATGTTGTGATCATTGATGTTTGTTAATAATCATGTGGTGTTTATGATCATGTGATGTTTGTTAATTATATGGTGGTGTTTATGATCATATATGATTGACGTCACTTGTAGTGTTTACGAACTTTACGATCATATGTTTGTTATTAATCATGTGGTTGTGATTATCATGATGTTGTGGTGTTCATGAGCACGTGGTGATGTTTATCTTACCTTACACGTGCCTTATGTTTTGTTCACAGATTTGTGTTGTCCACTGCACATCAAATAATTCGCAATGAGTGCAAAGAAGCGGAAGTACTGTATCTTGACGAATATATTCGATTTGGATTCGTGTCTCTCCAAAAGGGTGACACAGAGGTCCCCCAGTGTGTGATATGTCACAAGACTCTGAGCAATGATGGAATGCGGCCCTCACGCTTGGAACGCCACTTGAGGACAACACATCCTGCTCTAGCTGACAAGCCCAAGGCATTCTTTGAAACAAAAAGACACTCCTTGATGCAAGTTAAGTTGGACGGCAGTGGGGCATTTCAGCAACAAACTTCTAAGGTTGTTGAGGCTTCCTATGAGATCGCCATGTTGATTGCAAAGAGCAAGAAGAGCCATAACATCGAGAGTTTCTCATAAAACCAAGCATACTCCGTGCAGTAGAACTCGTTCTGGGGAAAGATAGTGCAAACAAGCTTTCCCAAATTTCACTATCAAACGATACAGTCAAGGGAAGTGTCGAATTCAGCAGGGAAATACAGCCAGTTTTAGTAACTTGGATTCTGCTCTCATTCACGGTAACCTTGATTCTGAGTTAAAGAAACAAATAATCACTCATCTAACTGACTTGAAAACAGAATTCATCAGATACTTCCCGGAGATAGATGAGAAGCGTGAAGCCTGAAAATTCATCAGGAACCCATTTCAATGTGAAGTAGCTGATGTTTCGGATGAAGTGCAAGAGGAGTTTCTTGAGTTGAAGTTCAACTCCACAGCTAAGGAAGACTTCAAAGAAGTGGATCTTGAGACGTTTTGGGTCAAGTACCTTCCTGTTTACCCTCTGATCTCACATCAGGCTCTTCGGATTCTAACTATGTTTTGATCCACGTATCTTTGTGAAGCTGCATTTTCCACGCTCGTTGCTATCAAGACCAAGTACAGAAACAGGCTGAACGTTGAAGGGGGTTTACGTTCTGCACTCTCTGGCATTCAACCACGCATTCAAGATCTAGTAGCTAAGAAGCAGTGTCAAGTATATCACTAATTTATACTCAATAAAAAGACTAAAAACACAATATTTTTCATTTTTCTTTAAAATCTGGGAGGGAATTTTATTCATAGTTGCAAGGGGGGCGTGGAGGGAAGGACCAATTCCTAGAGGGGACGTGGTAGTAAAAAGGTTAAGAGCCACTGTCCTAGACTAATTACTTTATACTTGTCCACATTTAATTTCATCTGCCATTTTTCAGACCATGTGAAAAATTTGTTTCGATCTTCCTCTAGTTTTGCTGAGTTCTCTTCAGATTTAATTACACGTCTTATTTTAGTGGCGTTAGTAAATTTACTTAAGTAACTGACATTAAGGTCTACTTTGAATCTCACTTCTTTGTGATTGCTATTTGCTAGTTCGTTCTTTACCTCGACATTACTAATGAGGCTTTCTCTGTTTGACAGAACTAAATCTAGTATATTATTTCTCCAGGTGGGTTCGGCTATATGTTGACTTAGGAAACAGTCCTGAACTGTTTCAAGATAATCCTCTGGCTCTGAATTACCCATAAGGTGGTAGGTAATAAGTAGCTACCAAACAGGGAGGTACTACCACATGGGAAGATATTGGAAGCATAATGTGTTGTCTATAGGTAGACCCTGCTGCCATATGGCATCACGAAAATTGTGACCAAGTCCCAGGTTGCTGATCTGAATTTCTGCCTCATTTACACAAAATTGCAGGGTTTCAAGTGTTTCTCTTACTCGGACAACATAACACATAATGTATATCGTTTCGCACTCTTGATTTAATTTTTTTTCCTTTTTGGATTTATTATTATTATTATTATTATTATTATTATTATTATTATTATTATCATTATTATTATTATTATTATTATTATTATTATTATTATTATTATTATTATTATTATTATTATTATTATTATTATTATTATTATTATTGTTATTATTGCTAATATTATTATTATTATTATTATTATAATTATTATTATTATTATTATTATTATTATTATTATTATTATTATTATTATTATTATTATTATTATTATTATTATTATTATTATATTTCCGACCCCAGGCCCTGATGTGGGTCAGTGACCTGTGCCCGGGTGGGCGAATCCCCGTAAAAAAAAATGTGACTAAAGTTAAAGTCGCCTACTTTACAGACTTTGCTATGTATGGATGCCCTGTGAATTTCATCCCTAATAAGTTTCTCATTAACTTTATCGAGATTAGGAGGTCTATATTTTACGCCTATGATTGATTTTTCCCTGTCATTGGTAAATTATCCAATGTTTTTTTGTATTCAGTTCAGCTTTTATTTCCTCATTTAGTTCACACTTCAGATTATCCCTGACATAGATTGCTCCCCAGCCTCCTTTCCTGATCTGCCTATGGGTATGAAATAATTTGTAGCCTATAATTTGGTATTCGACAGGTAACTCACATGAGTCTAAGTTTATCCACGTTTCGGTGAATGCTATTATATCGATTTTTTCGTTACATACCGGATTTCATCCATTTTGTTTCTCATACTCCTACGGTTTGCGCAGTAGACATTTAAGTTAGTCATGATCTGAGTCCTCTCTCTGTCGCATTTAGTTTTTAACTCCCTGTCTAATTTAGCTTTGTCATCATTCCTAGCACTATTTCTCTGTAACTTTTCATTTTGTTTTCCTGAGGCCACTGCAGTCTCCTCGATCCCGTGCTAACATGTTCCCCTAGCAGTTTAAAGACTTCGACATCGTTTGAACTGCCTTCTCGAGAGAGCCAGTCAGGGTTGCCACCCCATCCCTAGACAGATGTACCCCACCCCTAGCATAAAGGTCCCTTCTTTCCTACACCAGCCAATATCATTGCCTCCTGCACTGAGGCAGATAATGGGTTT